AGTTATGAAGGATGGCTTGAAAAAAACTGCATTTTGAGTTCGAACGCATGATTTCAGGATTTCAGTGCCATTCAAACAGAATTGGATATTTTTACCATGCCTTTCAACGTAAATTGTGAAGCAGTGACGTCAGATTTGCAGCTTGAATTAACTGATTTGCAATCTAACAATCATCTCAAGCAGTTGTTTCTAAATATGCAAAAGTTAGAGTTTTGCAAATCATTACCGAAAGTAAATTTCCCAAATTTAATATCTCACGCTCAGAAAATTAGTGCTAAAATGTTTTCAACTATGAACCTTAGAAAGAATTATTTCAGAAGTAGACTGACCTCGTTTTAGTCTCGTTCCTTAGAATCAGTACATCTCACTTCGAACTTCAGTATAAGGAACTTTTAAAAATGAAATCCAAATTCATTCATCTCATGAACATATTTAAATTGTAATACTTGTATATTGTTTTTAAAATTTTAGAAAAATTTGTCTTGTCCCGCCAAACCTTTTTTTTTTTTTTTTTCCCCGATTTTTGGTCCGCGATCGAAAAGGTTTGCCCATCCCTGGCATGGAGGTAGGAAAGGGGTAGGGGGCTTACTTCCTACCTCCATGATCCCTGGTCTAGAATATCCTTTCTATGTTGTGTTCCTTTCATGGTCGAATTTGGCGACATTCTTGGCGATGTTATTTGCACATTTTACCATCATTGTAAAGAATAGAGGACATTTTAAGAAGATTATTCAGTTTTTCTGATGACAGCGATAGGGGAGCCAAATGCGGTTTCGCCAGGAAGTGTCGTTGGTGGAAGGGGTGGGAAGACGCATCCATCGTTTCAGGATTGCTCGCTGTATTCCCTCGTGCCGCATCTGAGAAGGCCCTTAAAAGCCTCATCGTTCATCTCTCAACAATAGATAGTGGATCCTCTTCTCCCCTCACCACTTTTTTTTCCTTTGGCTTTTGGTTCTCCACCCTCACAATGGAATGAAGAGCATCCAAGTGGGAAGAATGGGAGAATGGAATGAAAAAAAGAGCTTGTTGAGCCCACGTTTTTCATTTTTCATCAGTTCTGTGTTTCAGACACAAATTCCTGAAAGCATCTGGTAAATGTTTGGAAACATAAACGCCTTATTTATTTATTCTGGTTCTAATTTATGGCTGTGGTTTCTTTGCATTGTGATATGAAACGCTGGATTCTTCTTATACAAATTGGCAATGGCTGAAAATGATGGGCGATACAGATATCGAATTGCTTTTCATTATTCTGCTGGGCTGATTAGGGAAATTGTGCATCTGACTCAGGCTTTCGCGTTTTCAGAAAATGTTTTGTCGGGTAATGGGCAATTTCATTCCACACTTTCTTTATATATATGGCTGTTAATTTTCTTTTTGCATTTTGCGTGGATTCACTTTCTGCGTTGATTCACTTTTCAAACTGTTGCCACCAAATATTACAGCCCTATATTATATTTAAAGAAATTAAATATAATACCAAATTTGAAATTTGTTTTATTATCGATTTCATATTTTGTAAAACTTAAGGAATTTTTGATTAACAAACTCAAATATTTCAAAGGGAACAGCGGCAACACTGTACAGAAAAAACATTTTTATCTGTGTATCGGAAATTCTAAAGATAGGCTCATTTAAAAATTACTTTGCGATATTGTTGTTAAACTGAATTTTATGGTTTAAGTGAACATGATATGAAGAACATGATATTTAATATAAAAAAAAAAAGGTAACACACAAAATGTTAAAAAAACGCTTCTTTGGACGTAATTTAAAATCTGAAAACTTTCAAAAAAATTTTTTTTTTCTTTCTTTTTTTCGTGTTTGTGTACAGTGTTGCCATTGCTCAATTTGAAATCGTTGAGTTTGTTAATCAAACATTCCTTAAAGTTTTACAAAATAGGAAATAGATAATGAAACAAATTCCAAGTTTCTGCTTCCAGATACCCATACTCGACTGGAGGACTACGTTATTCCAAATTGGATGTCTATAGGTGCCGTTGTTTTTTTTTTTTTTTTTTCCACAGTGCGAGAAACATACATACATTCATGCATTTGGTGGCAACAATTTGAAAAGTGAAATGCCGTTTATAATGGGCCAACGCAAAATGCCGAAATGAAATTAATTGCCCTTTTGGAATACCTAGCACCGTTTCTGCGATGTTTTAAATGAAGCTTAAATATCTAATAAAATAGAAAGTTTTACATATATTTACATTTGAATGGAGAAACATCTCAGTTCTAATAAAGTAATAATAATCATAGCCAGTAAATTAAATTTTGAGTTCACTTTTATACCAGATAGAAATATGATCCATGGAGATTTTTATAATTACATATAAGTACATAATTGACGCAAGCAGAATTAGAGCGGCTTCCAAAAGTGTTCGTACAGTTTAAGAATATGTAGACAAAGCGATGGAGCCCGAGATTAAATTCGAATTAAAGCCCTGTATTTTTTCATATCGTCTGCATGCGATTTTGATTAAAAGCAAACTTTTCTTTTTTCAGTATTGACTTATTTTCTCTTTCTAAATTTAAAAATGTAAGGAGTCTTAGGTACAACACCACACAAAAGCGATCATACACTGAAACATTTTGTTAAAATTCCATATATAAAATTATCGTCTACCACTTTTTTTCTTACTTTTGCATTTTGGTGACGTTTACAAAATCGTTTGGCTTTATTCTTTGTTTGCTTACTTTGTTATAGTTTAATTATTATTTAAAAATGGCTTCTAGTTGTAATGAAAAAACGAATGGCATTCGAAAATTGATACTTTTTCATGATAATGGTGGAAAATTGATCCGAGATACCGCTAAATTAGTAAATTTATCCCATTCTGCGGTACAATATGTGATAAAACGCTTCAAAGAAGAAAATCTGATCGAAATTGGAGTAAGAATATGTCGTCGAACAAAGTTCATTCAACGTGATCAGAGATTAATAGTCAGAAAATTTGTGAAAAATCCACGTTTGAGTGCCATAAAGATTTCTACAGAATTTACTGAAGAATATTCTACTTCAGTTTAACTTGAAATGTAGACGACGAGTACTCAGATCAGCTGTATTACCTACGCGTTCTTTGCTCGAAGAAAATTTTTTGTAAGTGCAAGAAACAGAAAACTTAGTCTTTCCTTTGCAAAATGAACGGTAAAGAAACCCGAAGTATATTGGAACCATGTCATTCGCAGACGAAAGCAAATTTAACATTTTTGATTCCAATGGGCATATAATTTTATAGAGAATAAAAAAATAAGGAACTTAATTCCAAGATCTCGGTTGGAACAGTAAAGCCTGGTGGTGGAGGCTCCTTAATTTTTAATTAATTAAAAAAATTAAATTAATTTGAACAAAGTTAATTTAAGATTATCTTCTCAAAATTTTGGCATTGGAAACAACTTTATTTTTTGACAGGATAACGTTCCTAAGCGAACGGTCCTTAACATTAGCCTTTGGTGTGTCTATAATTATCCAAAAGTTCTGAAAACACTACTTTATTCACTAGATTAAAACCCATTTGGAGAAAATTAGTGATTAAAGTTCAAAGACACAATATTAAAATGGAAATCGAACTAAAAACAGTAATGATGGAAGAATGGAGCATCTGATATTGGATATGATGGAACATCTGGGCATAAATGGTGAACTTTATGCCCAGATGTTTCAAAGCTGTCATAAATGCTGCTGGATATCCTACAAAATACTACAATAGTTACTAATAGTATGTTCAGATTCCTTTAAAGTGTACGAAGGCTTTTGAGAGGTAATTATTCTGTTACATCTTGATTATTGATTCCCCCCCCCGAGTCGTAGCTAGGGTTTTCAGCGCCCAGGGACAACTGAAGATTTCGCGCCCCCTACTGCTTGCTAAGGATGGAAAACATTTAATTCTAAAATGTCGTAACATCAGTTTGGCGCCTCTTGGATTCTGCGCCCGGGGACAGATGCCCCCCTTGTCCCCCTCCCCAAAAAAAGTTTTACTATGTTCACTATGTTCATAAAGTAACTAATGTATTTTTGCTAAGAGGAATTTATAAATATTAAAAAATTCTCATTCTCAAATATTAATTTTTACTTCCTTGCACAAAGTAAAGGAAGAATTGTAATCATGAAAAATTCCGAGTATCACATTTCAACGAATCATATCCATTTTGGCGCCATTGAATGCAATTTAATGATATTTTTGCATAACATCTGCACGTAAGGACAGAATGAAGGAGTCTTTTTCCCGAAGGCGAATTATCAAAGTCATTTAAAATGGATTCAGAAGATATCTTTTCGTGGCGTCTGTACGTACGTATTAATATAGGTATCTCGCATAACTCGAAAACGAGTAGCCTCAGAACATTTAAATTTTGTATGTAAGATTGCTATAACATACAGTTGTGCACCTCGCTTTTTAATGGTGCCTTTTTAATAATATCTTATATAACTGAATTAATTGAATGAGAAATCTATCTCTAATGAAATTCGAGAAAATAAGTTTAAATAAAATACGGCAAAAAATGCGTATAATTTAATATTCTGTACAAGGAAGAAATGTGGTGTACAGATCATATTTTTATCAATAGAAAGAGCACTGAAACTCGTAAGTGTATAAACACTTTTGGGAGCAACTGTATCTGTCAACAAATTTAGAATATTTTTCCTCTTTTGGTGGAATTCATTTCACTTCTCTCACATAAAATGATTGTGCTCTATGAATTTTAACTGTCATTTTCATGTTTAAAATGTCCGGTTTAGAGAAAATTACCAATTTTCTGTCAACAAATTTAGAATATTTTTCATCTTTTGGTAGAATTCATTTGACTTCTCTCACATAAAATGATTGTCCTCTATGAATTTTAACTGTCATTTTCATGCTTAAAATGTCCGGTTTAAAGAAAATTACCAATTTTCGTCCATGTGGTAGATTAAAAAATTTTAATTTGTTGACTAGTGCATTTCAAAAATGTCTCTTTTTTTTTTTTTTTTTTTTTTTTTTTTTTTTTTGCAGCATCCTTACCCTTCTGAAGATCAAAAAAAGCAATTAGCTCAAGACACTGGTCTCACAATTTTACAAGTCAACAACTGGTAAGTAGAACTTTGTATTACTAACATTTGTGTGATCAATAACTTTGAATTAAAATATTGAACACCGACCACCACATCTCAATCTGCAGTTCCAAACTGTTTTAATGCATGTCATTAGACTTTTCTCCTCTTTCGGCAGAGTATCTATATTTATTTCTTAACATATTTATAAATACGTTTGCGGTAAGGTTTACCTCATAATTTATTCTCTTTGAAACTCCTGCTGTTGGAGATTATGACAATTCTAAACTTATTAAAGCCATCGTTAGGGAAAAAACATTTAAAAAAATTAATAATAATGGTCTGAAAGGTTTCAGATTTAAAATTTCGTCCAAAGAAACTTTTCTTTAACATTTTGTGTGTACTTTTATTTATTAAATATCATGTTCTTCGCACTTAAACCATAAAATTTAGTTCAACAGCAATATCGCAAAATAATTTTAAATTGAGCCTATCTTTAGAATTTCCGATACATAGTCCCGCGCTGGAGATAAAAATATTTTTTCTGTACAGCGTTGCCATGGTTTGCTTTGAAGATTGAGTTTGTTAATCAAAAATTCATTAAAGTTTTGCAAAATATGAAATCGATAATAAAACAAATTTCAAATTTGGGCTTCCAGATGCCCATATTCGCAGTAGGATTGCGTCATTCAAAATTTGATGGCTCTAGGTACCGTTGTTTTATCACAATGCGAGAAATAGACATACATTTATGCATATTCTTCATTATTTAATTTCTTCAAATATAATACAGGGCGATAATATTGGGTGGCAACAGTTTGAAAAGTGAAACGGACATTCAGAGTGATTCGACGCAAAATCGCATAACGAAAGCAATAGACAGGGACAAAGCCTCTTTGGATTAAAAAAAAATGTTCTCTTATGCGTACGAAAAGAACATGTTTATTTGTTCTTTACAGAAATTGTATTTGATTCAAAGTGTCTTGGAAATGTTAAAGACTTTGAATTGTTGGAGAATAAATTCATTATAGCTTAGAATTTTGTAATGAAAGAGCATGTCATGCATTTTTTAAACTTTTATGCAAGGGGCAGACAAATAAACAAACAAAATAGTGTTGATGTGAATCGTCTGACAGCAGCATCAGAACAAGTCATTAATTCTCTACTGGCGTGGAGCGTCTGCCGTTGACGACTTTTGCCATCTTGGTACCAGTTTTGAAGGAAAATCCCCATCGGGACGGATTCAAGGGTCTTCTTCCCTACCTCCTAACTTCTTGTGAGACTTTCGATTCGCCGTTTATTTTAAGTGCCTCCCTACCGCGAAGACATGATGCAGTTACAAGCATACGAGGTCTGTCCGGGATTCGAATGTGGGCCCAACGATACGACAGCCAGCGGTGCTAACCATTAATTATATCAATCAAAGGCTAACATCTCGTCAATGTTAACTAAGAACTGACCACCGGTAATCGTAAACCCGTAAGTTAGAGATGACTTATTTTTTTGACGGGCACGTTTTCTTTCAGTTTAATTTTATTTCAATAATCCATCTAAACTTATTGTGCTGCTCCATAACGGTGACCATCGGATTTGCTTGTACGGATAATTGCTGTCCTTCAATTTAATTTTATTTGAATAGCCTATCTAAATTCCCTGTACTGCTCCATACAGATGACCTGTGGATTGACGACTAACGACCAATAAAGTCATCGGTGATCGATTGCCTTGACGGGTAACTGCGTTTTTCGATTGAATTTATTCTAAAAATCCACTAAATTGCTGTATGATGTGAATATGAGCCAGTTTTCCATAAAAGGTCTTCCACGAAGGTACTTCTTGTTAAAATATGTTATGAAAAGAAAAAAGAATAATAATAACGTATTTTTAATAACGTAATTTAGTTTATAGGTTCTGGCAGCATCATAGAGGTAGGAAGTAAGAAGGAGTCGCCCTAAACAAGTTTCTCCGTACCCTGCTCTGAAGCACCGGCGATCCCTACGTGGAGACCAAAACATTGGGTCATTTACCATTGAGTTCTATGGGATTTGACGCGTTCGGGGTGTAAATATTTGTAATTACGTCGCCAAATATACATATAAATGTATATATTTTCTTTTCTACAACACTTCAGAGTCCTAAGTATGTGAAAACAACATATTTTTAAACAACATTTCATTTTGAACGGAATTAAATGCTATACTTTTCACAGGACAGTTTTCTCAGAATGGTTTAAAATTTGAATGAAATATTTTCACAAGTTTTCGTTAATTACATTAGAAAAAAAATTAAGGTAATTCGATTTTATTCGGTTAAGGTAAGGTACAAAAATTAAGATCAAAGTTTATTGTATTATTAATATTAAAAATTATGCATTATTTCTTTTCTATTTATAGAGCTTCTTCCTAAAATACTTTCTTAAATATGACATGATTTTTTGGCTTCTTTTAAATCGAAAAATGTAAGTCAATTTATAATTAATGCTCTATTCGGTTCATTTTAAATTAGAGAATTATTAGGAAAATAGTATTTGACTTTCTCTGAACATTTCTGAAACGGAATTAAAAAATTTTTTTTTTTTTTTTTTTTAAGTATTATTTAAAACTTGTAACTGAGTTATTATAAAATGTAAAGGGAATAATTCTTTTAATTATACTTAGCAGATTTTTTTTTTTTTTTTTACCCTTCATTTCAACAATACATATTCCAAAACTCTTTATTACGTTCTTAAGTGCGCATCTCATAGCATTTGCTTTACAATACCTTTTAACAGATTGCTTTCCAATACGAACAATTCTTGCTTAAATAGTTTTATAACTTATTTGTCAACAGGATTTCAATTTATGTTTACAATTCAATATTAAGGTTATTATATATTTAGATAACATTTATAATCATTATAAATTAGATACATTTAATAATTAGATTTCTTCACAGTACTATCACAGTTGTTTATAAGTGAATAAATTCTTCATTTCAAATACATTTATAAATAATTTAATGAATATTTAAGTATTTTGTCAAAGGCAGATACAGGCTTTTGCAAGCACATGCATAAATACCCATACATATTTCCTATTTATCATTTCCGGCATGTGCAAATCTTTAATTTCTGTGCATTCACTATATTTTTCGTGTAAAGTAATTTACACTAATTTAGCTTACACCCGAAAGTTTTACATAAAAAATATATATGAATATATTTGAATGAAAATTATAAGTATTATTTTTAATACCCACTCAAAGGTCAGTTTTTCTTCAAAATTCCCCCACGATGGCATCTCTCTCTCTTTAGGCAGATAGCCCTTGCATGCGTTACTCTATTTAATAAAAAACTTAATCTGACCTATGTGCCTAATTACGAATATTTTAACATACATAATTTTATATTTACATTTAGCCATCAAGTTTCAAACTTTTCAAATCTTCTAGAAAATAAATTTTGGCAGATCTCTTTTAGCAATTTTCTTAAAATCTATATTTTGTAGTGCAACAGCTTAGAATTTTATAAAACAAATTCATAATCAAAATCGCTGTTGTTAGTTATCGAAAAATAACCAAGATGTGATTTTTGCGTAAATGTCAGTAAACTATACAAATTGCTATTATCCATCACACTATGAATGTTTCTTTCATGCGAGAGTGTCCCTTTTTCGATTTCTATGGAACTGTCGTGTGTCAAAATACTATCAGAATTTTGTCAAGCGAGCTTCTGAATGTAAACAAAAAACACCCCGTCTGGTGACCCAAGCTTCAAAGCAGTGCTTCACTTCTAGCGCGGAATGGCCCCTCCTCCCTTTCCTACCTCCATGGGCAGCATAGTGTTTTTTTTTGGGGGGGGCATTCAGAGTTAGTTCGCTTGCTTGCACTTTGCGATGCTGTAAAGTTCCAACGATTTAGTTTTATATTAGTAATTCCAATTAAACTTCGTATTTTTGCTGTGGTGTTTGTTTTCTGCTTTAGTTTCAGAAAGTTTTTTTTCTTCTTGCCTGATAAATGAGAGCTTTACAGTATATAAACAAACTAACCTCACGTACATAATTGTAGAATTAAGTTACTGAGTTGTTGCAAGGTTCACATTCAAGAACTGAGAGTTATGTTTCGTTTCTAAAATGAAGGTTAATTGTGAGGGGGAGGGATCTGAAAGCTTTCAAATTTTATATTACGCCCCAAAGGACTCTTTTATTTATTTATTTATTTATTTATTATTATTATTATTATTTTTATAATGTGTGTGTGTTTTACCTCTATTTGTTAAATATCATGTTCTTCACGCTTAAACCATAAAATTCAATTCAACAGCAGTATCCCAAAATAATTTTAAAGTCGGCATATCTTTAGAATTTCCGATACATAGTCTCATGCGCCGGAGATATTCCCCCCCCCGTACAGTGTTGCCATTGCTCGCTTTGAAATCGTTGAGTTTCTTAATAAAAAAATTCGTTTAATTTTTGCAAAATATGAAATTCATAATAAAACAAATTCCAAATTTGGACTTCCGGATTCCCATATTCGGTGGAGGATTGCGTTATTCAAAATTGGATGGCTCAAGGTACCGTTGTTTTATCACAGTGCGAGAAACATACATACATTTTATGCAGATTCTCCATTATTTTATTTCTTTAAATATAATACAGGATGATAATATTGGGTGGCAACAGTTTAAAGTGATTCGCCGTTTATATTGAATCAACGTAAAATGCCAAAATGAAATTAATAGCCCTTCGGGCTAACAACCAAAAATTAAACGGCTCCATCACATAATTTGTCTGTTTACTGTTGTTTCTATGTTTATAAAAGCTAAACTGTATTTAAGGAATATAATAAATATATTTTAAGAATGAATTAAGAAATCTGATTGATCAGTTACGCAATTAGTTGACGTGTAGACGAAGAAATAAAAATTAATCAATTTTTAAGCCATTTTATTGCAGAGGAAATTCTTTGCGAACCTTAAAATGTGTTGCCAATCTTAGAAATAAAAATGAATATATTCTTATGTGGCTCAGCACCATTAGCAACTAAAAGTCCGAAGGTACATG